AATTTTTTTTTTGGTTTTTGTCGCACGGTGTAATAAATGTAAACATTGTACGCTCAATTCCAAAAAATGGAAGTGGAAACAGCGAGCAGGGAAGAAGAAATTTTGACTGCGATGTGAGCAGATAAACTTGCAGTGTTGTTTTGGTTGTAGTTGCTTTTGTCGATGTTTTTCATTCGGATACTTTCCTCTCCTTTTCTTATGCAAAACATGAATATTGGACGGGTCAGTCAAGCGACTGTCGTTGATGCCATAAAAAGGCAACAAAAAAGTTAAGCCAAAGAAAGAAGTAGAAGGAATCAATGAGTTTATGTATATGTATCTACGTAAGTAATTGTGAAGTTTGGTGTGTGCCTACGAAAGCTTAGTTTATTCAAATAGTATGTCTATTAACGCGCCAATATTCAGCCTAGTAAAGGGCTGAATGCTGACAAAAAGGAAGTGCCAAAGCGCATTCGTATAAAAGTGATTCCACGGCTGCAAAAAAAAAGCAAAAAAAAATTACTACAACAAAATTTACGCACATTGAATGTTAGAAAAAAAAAACCAAAAATAAACATCTAAATAAAGATTTTGACATTTAGAGCCACCGGGGCAAAAATCCAGCTGCTCTCGTAACGCCGCCTTATATGAATTCGCCTTTGGGAAGTGCACGCAAATTTTCGATTTTCCTTACTTAAGTCTACTCACCTGCCAGCTTTGCATGTCTTCATTTTAGTAGTAGTTCATTAACTTATGCTTTACAAAAAAAATTTAAATTTTCTTCCATATATTTAAAAAAAAGTATATATTTTTCCCTCTACTCATTTCTGCTTGTCTACACTGGCCGCCTGTCCTTCGTCATTTATGTGGCGCTGAACTTTTTCTTGTATGTAACTAGAAGACGCTGGCGCGTTCGGCACTTAATTTACTTAATTTGCACTTTTGCGCGGAAATCACGAAGCAAAAGCACAGCCGCACACACATTTAACCACACCTTTGCCTGGGCCGAAGTATATTCCAAGGCGCACAAGTGTGGAGGAAAAATAAAATTTGCTAGTTAACGCTGACCAAAGGACAAAGTTTCTGGTATTCTCTTTCCTTTTACACTTTTTTGTTTGTGTGTAAACAACAAAGTTTATACAAAGTGAAAAATATTAAATTAAGAAAGTGTGAATTTTTATTATTTTCAGGGAAATACAATAATAATTTTTTTCTAGTTTTTACGGAAATTTTTAAACACAATAAGCTCGAAAGGCGTTCGTTTTTCTGTAGGACTATATTTGCCTGGGTGTCTTTTAAATCATCTGAAGCAAATAGCATTTTCTCAGTGCATCTGCAAACGGACTTTCCCCTTTCTACCCTAGGGAACCCTTTACATAGATACCAATATGCCTATCTTCCAGGAAGAGCTACTATCCACGCTCTTCAGACACCCCCAAGGAAAATTTAAAAGTCTTTGGATGACAAAGAGGTGGCGGTGGGATATTTCTTGGACGTGGGCGGCGCAGTTGCCGCTGGATAGCAAACGTCCTTAAATCCAGACCCATTACATCCGCTCTGGGGTAGGAAAGAGGAAAGAGTCAAACTCTTAGCCACAAAAGGTTGCTTGCAGGGAGGAATGATATCCCCTCTACTATGGTTCATCGTAGTAAACTAACTAATCTGCCTTCTTAGTGAAAACGACTTGGACATTCGTGACTATGCGTATGACATTGACTGAATATAGTCCCAAATTGGTGCAGTAATAATGGGTTGAACGTTAACCCCAAGAAAACTAGCATAGTAATTTTCTATAGGAAAATGAAAAGAGGCAAATTAATAGAACCATTTCTTCAAGAAGAAAAAATAAACTTCAAATATCTAAGAGTTTTTCTTGATGACAGGCTCTCATGGAATTCGCACCTAGACAAAACTATTCAAAAAGGCCTCTAATACGGCAAACTGAGGCATAATACCTCAACTGGCGAGGTGAATGTATAATGCCATCTCCAAACCCATTCTAATTTATGCTGCGCTCGTCCGGTGGAAGATGGTAGAAATAAATTCCACGCAGGCTGGCAGGCTCTGTAAGCTATAACGTGTCGCCTGCGTGGGCTTCAGTGGAGCGATGAGAGCAACACCAACCGCGGAACTCGAGATGCTTCCTGATCTGCCTCCCCTGCACATTTAGTATATTGACGGCTCCAAGACTGACCAAGGCATCGGAAAAGAAGTTTATGGTACACAATCTGATGGTTCCTTTTCACCAGCATCGGGCACAGGTATTCTGCACAGGGCTTCATAAGCCATGTACAGTTTCGTGGGCTGCCACTGAACTCCCTTAGGCGAAGCTACTATATATGGATGCAGTACGAAACTAACATTCAGGGTATTTCAACAAGAAAGACCGAAGAACTGCTTCACCTCAGTAGGCATGTAGTAAGAATTTTTACAGGTTTTTCTTAATGGGCCGTGTAGGGTAATGAAACACTTGTAAAGCATAGCAGCTGTTAACTCTTGATTAGCGTAAGTTGTGCAAGAGAAGAACAGGAAACAACAGAGCACATTATGTGCCACTGTGAGGCCCTCAGAAGGACCAGACTTCGCTTCCTAGGATCAAAGTAGCTGGAAGCGCATGACATAAATGGCATTCAGCAAAACGACCTCGCGAGGTTTCTTAGCAATACGTAGATCAAAGAAGACCTGTAGTCGAATAGATGTTTGTTACAATAAATCGTTTCGGTCGCGGTGACTAGGTGACCTACTCCCTCATCTAAATCTAATCTAATCTAATAATGGCCATATCGAAATGCTACATTTCCGATCATTTGTGCCAAAAGGTAACATTTTGTTTTTTAACTAGCTTCTATAAACCAAACCTTTCTTATCTTATCTGCTCAAATTAATGTCAGCAGACTGTTAGTGCGGACAATTGTGCATAATGATTTCAATTTATTACCATATACAAGTCAACCAACAAGCAAATTGAAAGCAGCAGACTTGCCGATTTGTTTGGCACATCGCCAGAAGTTCATTCAAGTGTTGAAAGAGGACTTTAATTCTTCTTGAACTGCATTTCTATGTCCGGCGAGGCGCATTTTAGTCTAAAATTTAAGTGATGGGCAAAATTGTATTTACTAAGATTTAAGTAGTAGTTGTAGTAAATACCAAAGTACTATTTACTTAAGTATTTTGGATGTTAGCAAGTACCTAGTACGTTGTTTTCATAGCGTTATATACTAAGGTCGAGACCACGCAATGAGTTGCAAAGCCATAAACGGCTGAGCGGATGAGCGGCGCCATACAGAAATGCCGCAGAGCCGCTCAGAAATTCCGATCAGTGCGTGGCCAATAGTATTTCCTATGTTTTAATTTTAAGTCGCCGAGCCGCTCGCCGCTCATTGCGTGGCCTCGGCCTAAGTCTAAAAGTATTATTTAATTTCACTCAACACCGTAGGTATTTTGAGACTTTATGCTTTTAAAGCGTAAACAGGCAGCAGCGTTGATCCGGATCAACTCGAGAATTAACTGCGGTTGATCGGGATTAAGTCCAAGTTAATCTGGATCAACGCTGCCGTCTGTTTAAGCTTTAACTTCACTAAATACTGCGAACAAAAGTATTTGGAGACTTTGTCTTCACTAAATACTTGATACAACACCACTTAGTACTTATGTCTTGATTAAATACTAGATACTTGCTATTTACTTAGTATAAAAAGAAAGAATTTCGGAATTTTCGAGACTGGTTTAGAATGTCTAGGATTTTCGAGACTATATCGAGATTTTCGAGACTATTTCGGTATTTCGGGGCCACCTCGGCATCTTTGGGGCTGTTTCAGGATTTTAGGTCTTTCGCAATTATCTCGGAATTTTCGAAACTTTTTCGGAGTTTCAGGGACTACTTCGGGATATAGGGAACTACATATTTCAGGATTCTTGGGACTATTTCGGGATTTTCAAGACTATTTCGCGACTACCTCGAAGTTATAAGAATTTTTAAGGTTCTGGGAACTCTTTCAAGAGTTTTGAGGCGATTAATATATCGATAACAATATCGATTAATATGTCGATAACAATACCGATTATTATATCGATAACAACATCAATTAATGTATCAATAAAAATATCGTTAGCCGTGTACCGATAACAATACCGATTAATAAATAGATAAATTATCGATAAATTTATCAGTATCACCTTCGATAAATAAAACGAAATTTCCGAAATAGGCTCGAAAATCACGTAATGAATTCGTGAATCTTTAAAATCCCGAAATAGGTCCCAACTTGGGGTGTGCTGAGTTTAGGTAAGGTGTGATAAGAACGGATGTCACTTAAGTGAAAGTATTTTGCATTTTGAGTACTTTGGACCAGCGTATGCAATGTCTGCTAATTACTTTAATTTTTTAGAATTTGGTATCTAGCAGCTCCTGGACACCTAAGTATTTTTTACTTGAGTATTTAGCAAACTCCTAAATTTCTAAGTTTTTTTACTTGAATATTTAACAACTCCTAAATACCTAAGCATCTTTTACTTGAATATTTAGCCATCCCAAATACTAAGTATTTGAGTATTTAGTACCCAAACTGGTACTAAAAATACAAATGTATTTAGGTATGTCAATTACTGACTGGAACGAAAAGTAAAAATACGGCTTGATGTACCCTCCCCTAGAATTACCATTAAGCACATACTTAGTTACATAGGTTAAGCAGCTATAATCTTATTTACTATATATTCGTTCTAATAAAAGTCGAAGTATTGTGATTTTTCAACTAAATATTACTTTCCTCTTTACATGAATTCGCTGTAAAAATTATTTTAACAATTGCTTCCTACGATGAGTTTCACTAATTGTTTGGCCATAGATGTAAAAATTTTACAGTAAAAAAATTTCCGATTGTATGTACAAATAAATCGAGTGCAGCCCAGCTTCTGAACCATAGCGGCCAGCGAATTTAAATCAAATAAATAACTACAGAATGCATACCCAAATATTCATAGCATAAAAAGGAGGCAAATTTTGTTTTTCGTGTACTTACATCCACATTGCCATTCCACATGTAATGCATGCCAACTGCCGTCGGGTCGTGATGCGTTTGTCCAGTCATATGCTCGGCCATAACGGCACTCATCCAATGCACCAAACCCTGCGTGGGATTTTGCCCCTGAACACCGCCGATAGGCATAGTGGCGGCTACGGCTGCGGCCGCTGTTGCTGCTGCTGCAGCTGCGCTAGCCGCTGTGGGCGAACTGGGCGTCGACGCAGAGGAATGCAAACTCTGATGGGTGTGTGAGTGTTGTTGTTGCGACTGACTCGCAGCTGTGGAGTGATGTTGATGGTGTTGCTGCTGTTGGTGCTGTTGCTGTTGGGACGAAGGTGAGTGTAACGCTGACGCTTGTTGTTGATCGGGTGACTTTAGTGTGCCGTTAAAATTGTGCGCCTCTGCATCACCGACCGTTGCATGCAAATCTATCCCGCCGACGGGTGGCGTTGGTGTGGCAGCACCAGAGGCCGGTTGCAAGGAAAGATGGTTTTGTGATGACTGATTGTTGTTGTTGGTGTTACCGCCAGAGTTGGTAGGTGTTGTTGCTAACGCTTGCGCGGTTGTTGCACTCGCTGCCGCTGGTGGTGTGATGGCCGCTAAGGGCCACGAATAATTGCTGGGTTTCTGTGGACGAGAAGGGGAGAAAGGAGAAATATGAATTTCGAAACATCAAAATTCTACCTAGTTTTTAATTATACTTCATAGTGAAGTGATGCGTAATGGACACACGAGATTTTGGCTTCCAATAACACTAATTTTATATAGCCACTAAAAAATTTATCAAAGTCCTTAAAAGTAGATATTACAAAATTTTGAAACATATTATAAAACTGTTTTTATAATAAGTTTTAAAGGACGGGACTTGTTCAGGGCAATTTCGGGTCTAGTTCGGGGCCATTTTGGGGCTAGTTCGAAACAAATTCCTGAAATAACTCCGAAATTAACCGAAAGTAGTCCCGAAATGTGGTCGAACTAGTTCTGCACTAGCCTCAAAAAGATCCCGAACTCTGCCCAAGATTATACGGAGAAAGTCCTTATCTTTTCCGGAAATGGTCCTGAACAAGCCCCGCCCTTCTTTTGTCATAATTATTATTGAAGGACTTTTATAATATAAGACTCAAAATAGAAGCCTTTGCAAACGATTTTCGCTGACCTTAATACCATGTGTCTCAAAATAATAGTTATCGATGACATTAAACATTTTTATGATTTTTGGTCTCTGGTTATGACACCTAGTCCCAAGATTCGCTCCCGTTAACGTACGATTTTCCACAATCTTCACCACAGTGAATCTCAATAACAGACGTCAGCACTGCAACATTCATTAAACCGATTAGATATGGCCTGATCAAATAACGAAACCCCAAATTGATGATATTTTAATAAACAGAGGACTGAAGATTGACTGCTGCTAAGCTCCACAGGCATCTCTGTACAATGAAGTTCACGCGCTATGAGCGGAAACGAAAATTCGATTCAGAAATGCTGCATCTCAGCGGACACCAAAAAAATATCTTCTAGAAATATACGAGGAAGCAATCGATAACTTTATTTCAAAATGAAAGACGTAACGTTACGCACAGTGTGAGATACTGTCTACCAGGAAAATTCTGGAGGGAGTACTTCTCAAGATTTTCACTGAGATAAAAATCAATCAAAAATTGGTTAATAGTACCAAATTCAAACTTGAAAAGGAATCAAAGTGAATTTTGTTTAATATTAAAAAAATCCACTGTTGATATATTTATTCGATTGTAAGCGCTTCTGTTCTGCACTTCACAGATGCCTTTTCATAGATCGGAGATATACAAACAACAAAAAATTTAAATTTGTATTTATTATTTTGCATGTTGCCGCTGATGAGATTCGAACCAGGACCTTCTGGAAATTCGCAAATAACAATAGGCATCTCTGCACCCTCAGCAACAGATGTTCTATAAACGTGTCCGCAAATGTTCAAGTTTGAATCAATTTTCTTCGTCCTTTGATTTTGTTTTGTCTTTCACTTCACAGGTGCTTTTTGGTAATTAAGAAAACCCAAAAACAAAAATAAAAGAAAAATTATATACCACCTCTGACGGCATTTGAAGCTCAACTTTCTGGAAAAGCTAACAAATAGCGTTTTGGTAAAGCCAGACATACAAACGTGTTTTCAAATATTCAACTTCAAATGGGGGACGATGCTGAAATGACAGTCCTTAGCCAAATACGAATCTAGGTCGTTTCGGTTATGGAGAACCAACCGAAAATGTGACGTGTCCCGACCTTGAAAAATCACCCTTATGCGTCGAAAGAAGTTATAACAACAACAAAACAAAACAACGAAACAAACAACAAAATATGGGTATTCACGATCCGGTGCATACTGTCTAGCGTGGTGCATAGATAGCATGATTGTTGTTGTTTCATGTGAATACCCCAAATATATCTACTTTTTAAAATTAAGCTCTAAGCTCCGCTTCATCTTGATAGGTACTTTTAATTACAAACACTTTTAATCAATAATTTTTCTAATAGATACTCTCATCAACTAACATGATTACTGCCACTTGCGCTGCCATTCGAATCGCCGCCAGTCGCCTCGTCAAGCAGCTCTGCAGCAGCTGTGCTGCGTTGAGCTGCGACCGCCGCCGCCGCCGCAGCAGCAGAGAAGAACAAATTTCGTGGGAATTGTGTGGCATTGGGCGAATGCGAATGTTGCGTATAGCGTTGCCCGATGGCGGCTGACGGCGTGCGCACCTGTTCCTGCTCCAATAGCTTCTGTTGACGCTGATGTTGCTGTTGCTGTAATGCCGCTGCGCTGGCTAGTAAACTTTTGTAGAAATCAGCGGGCATTAAGAATGGCGGCGTCGGCGTTGGCGTCGGCGTCGCAGCTGGCGGTGTTGGCAGCGTACGTGGTACCGATGCTGGTGATGGTGGTGAGGATGAGCCGCTTTTTTGTTGCGTTGTTGGACTTTCGCCTTCAGCGCTGCCACGTCGTTTGTGTCGCTGTGCCGCCAGCTGCTCCACGGCAGCCAACTGTTGCTTTGTTGTGACGTCGCGCCGGCAGGCAACGAGAGACAAAAGCCGCTCTGCTCCAGTACAACGCAAAACGGACGCTGGCGGTGGCGACGCTGAGACGGCGCAACAGTTCATTTCGCAGGGTGACATATTCATTTTAGAGTTTGGCTTGCTTGTGCGCCTTCAAGTATGCAGCAAGTTTCACGCAATTCACAAAAGTAAAACTTTCACTTTCGAGTGGCGCACAAAGTTCGGTGTAGAAAGTTAAAAAGTTTTGCACTCAGAAGTGGTAAGTTTTGTTTTGCAACAATTTATTTTTCTGGCACACTTTTCTTTGTTGCAACTCGTCGCTGATTTTACTTGGCACTTACATACATACATATGTGTATTCGCACTGCTTTTTCTATTTTTATTTTTGTATTTGATTTCATTATTTTCTGTGTGTGCGCTTTATTTACGTTTCCGTTTTGCCTTATTTACTTTTCGTGGTTTGTCGAGTTGAACCTTTTTGCTTTGATTTCCTTTATTTGTTTTGTTATGCCATTCTTTACTTTTCACATAATAAGATACAACACAGAAACATATCCTCTTTGGCGCTGTATTTTAATTATTTAATAATTTTTGTTGGTTTAAATTTTGAAGTTAGCTTTTGCACGAACGATGCTTATTTATTGAATCTTTTTTATCGGTAAATGAAGACCTTAAATTTTATTTGTGTAATTTTTTTTTTAGTTTTTGGTAATTTTCTTAGGAACTCTGAACATTTATTTAGGTATTTTAGGAACCATTGGTTTCTTTTAATCACTTGGTTTTCGAGAATAAATCTCGGTCTAAAATTGTAGCTGCCTTATAGGTTTTGTAGGAACTATTTATAGGCCTTTCTTTGTTTCTTAATTCTTTTGTGGTTTAAATGAATATAAATCAATTTATTTATTGCTGATTTTTGAAGGATAAAAGTTACTTGATTATTGGATAGTTTGGTATTATTTTGTACAGATGTATTCGGCGGTAGAGAAAGTAATTTCAGGCATTCCCCTCTACCGGAATCCGTTGTTAGAATCTTGCATTTTTTTTGTGTTGTACAATGTTGTATAATTTTCCTTTAATTTTATCACACCGAAATTACTTTCTCATTGCTCTTTCGTAGGCGATTTTTTAACTTGAATTTTCAATCTTCGACGAATCATCTCAAATATTGTGACTATGTGGTCCACATTTGTAACTTTTTATCTTTTTCTTTTAATGCTAGTATTTAAAGCTTCATTTCGATTAGAAAATTATGGATATATAGTGCATTTTCTACATTTTCGGATTTAGTTTATTCCTTTATTTGTGTTTTTTTTTTGTAATTTTATGGCCTTGTAACAATTATATTCAACAATTTTTAACGAGCTTGAGGCCGTGAAAGAAGTCTGATGAGGAAATGTGGTGATTTCCGAAATAGCTATCACTTCTACCAATTTTCACATTATTGTTGCTGTTCCACAATAAGTTTTTCATTGAAAACGGCCTCAAGCTCATTAAAAATTGTTGAATATTATTTTATTTTATTTTATTTTATTTTATTT